GTTCTATGTATTTAAGATATTTTGGAATCTCAAATTCGCTTAAGTAGATTTAAAATTAATTTCACTTACTATTATATAAGACTTTTCCAATCTTCAAATGTTATATTAAACTTTATATATGTTGGTATACGATTCAAGAATTTTCAAATAAAAAAGGTAAATCAGGTATAAACAAATTATACAATTTCTACTTCGCAGCTTGATTTTCAGCAGAGTGAGTTTCTAGATTAAGAAAATCTATTGTCACATTATCAAGATCATCTTGCTCTTCTTCAAACTCTTCGTCAATTAACAATTCTTCCTATTCGTTAGTTATAGCATTCCAATTAGCTTCTGAAGAAATATCTTCATTTACATCATTATTATCAGCTTCTTTAAAAGCTAAAAAAGTATTAGTAACAGAATCAGTGGAAGGATGTGAAACAGAAAAAGGATAATTTGATTGAATATAGAAACTTGATTTTGTTTTATGAGCTCGTAAAATTTCTGCATATAGTTGGCTTATTGCGATTACTTTTTTATTCTATTAAACAATTAAAAAATTAATAAAATAAATTGTATAATTTAGTGATACAAGTAGATCATCCCAATGATTGCTGTAACTATCTCTGTAATATATAATAATTATCATAAGTTACGACAAACACGCTGTAACTTATGATAATTATTACATATTACAGAGATAGTTATAGCAAAAGTTATAGCAATCATTGGGACGATCTACTTGCAATACTAGTATAATTCAAAAAATATATAGTAACTTACATTTAGTCTATTTCGTAATAGAGAGTGTAAAAAACCTATAGTAGAAAATAATCTCTCTACTGAAGCAGTTGTAATACATATGCCAAATAATTGATATGCAATACAGCTTAATTCTGATGCTGCACCAGAATTATGTGATCACCAAAAAATAATATCACCTTTAATTGGTTGAAAGTTTCTTTAATAAAAGGATATTTTTGTTGCTTGTATAGTTCGAGTTCATGAAGTAAATAGTTTGAATCAACACCAAACCAAGCCTTGTAATAATATGATAGCCATGCACCTATGTGTGTAAAATTAATATACAACTGTATTTGATTCAAATAATCTAATAGATATAAAGGGTGAAGAACAAAGAAAAGAAGAAGCAATGGTTGCTCACAAGTGGCCTATCTTTTTTCAAGTCTTTCAATCATTTTGGTTCAAAATTGTGATTCCTCTAGTTCTTTAAATATTTTATAAAAAAACCAAAGGTATGTAAAATGTTATGAAGATATGCCTTGTTACACTACATAAGATCAAGTGCTCTACAAAAAAGGTGAAGTAAATCATATAATATTACAAGAGAATCCCAAAAAGAATTACGATTAACAGCAACTTTAATCTCAGATAGAAGCTTCAAATTGTCATCTAAGGCTGTATTGTCTTTGATAACAAGAGTCTAAATAAAAATTTATTATAATTTTAGGTAAAATTTACTAGATATACTATATTTCTAAAAACAACTTTAATAATTAATATTTAATAAACTAGTAAAAATGTTTAGCATTCTAAAAACTATAATTTTTAACTATAATTAATTTGCAATAAAAATTTTAATAAATCATATAACATTTAAAAATATATAATTATGATTTTCACCTCTAGTAAATACTAAATAAATTCTTTAACGATTTAATAATAAAAAACTTACTTTTAACGGATGCTTACTTTTAAGAATACTATCAAAATATTCAAAATAACTATTCCATCTAGTTATACTTGGTGTAACTAAGTTAATATATTTTTTTAAAACATTCATTTGTTCTCACGAAGCTTAGCCATAAAATATACAGAGTAGTAAAAAAAAGTAACAATACGAATTGCATGTTTACTTGTATTTTTGAATATTACAGATTCTTTAAATATATCACCAACACAACAATTAGCCTGATATGCAAAACAAAGAATAAACATATTGTTACATATTTCACATCTTAAACAATGATGAGCTGCTGCATATGATCCAGCTAAATCAGTTACAAGATAGTTTGCTCTTATATTTAATTTTTTTGTCTCTTCAAAAAGATTCTAAATTCTAAAAATTACTTCTTCTTTTCATTGTCTTTCAATACTAATATCTTTTGCTTCCCAAATTAAAGTTTCTCCTAAGGATGTAACAAATACGATGCCTATCAATTCTTGATTTACAATATTGCACCAACTATTAAAGGCAATAGTAATACCAATTTTATCCTTGCAAGCAAGTTCTTGAATTGTTGTTTGAACTTCATTAGTTGCATTCATTAAAATATGATTGCTAAGTGACTTTCAGTCAGGTAATTTTAGATATAGAGAAATAAATTGAAATAATTCTTTGATTTTAGGATTTTCTATCCATCTGAATGCAAATCCAGCTAAAATCATAGCTCGAAGTACAAAATGTTCAAATTTAGGAACTTTAGAAGCATTGAGTGGTCGACCAACATATTGTGATAACGTTGTTTGTTTTTTTAAAGAGGATAAAGTATCATTAGAGGCAAATAATAAAT